CTCGGGCGCGCGCGCCGCCCTGGTGATGCGGCCCGGCGCAGCGATCGGTCGGGCCCAGATTGGCCTGCGATCCTCGCCCACCGTCCTCACCCTCCTCACTCCGCGTACTCCTCTGCGCCGCATCTGCGCCTCGGATCCTCCGCCTCGCTTCCTCATCGCCCTCACCATCATCACAGCCACCATCAGAAGCCACATCATCGTCCCCTTGCTCGTCCTCCTCCTCCCCCTCGTCCTCCTCGTCCACGCCTGCTCCGCCCCCTCTGTGCACCACCCGACTACCACATCCAGCACACCAGAGGTGCTATTGCGCGAGTCAAGATGCACGAGAAAGAAAGATTTTTGACAGAGATACCGAAGAAATGCAATATGAAAAACCTGACTGATGCGAACGAACTGCATCCATCAATGTACATCGGAGGTGAGGGGGTGAGATCGAAGTGGAACGGAGAGCCCCCTTACCGGGAAGTCGATTTCGGTTTCGTGTTCGTGCGTGCCGTGCGGGCGAGGCGAAGCTGCGTGGGCGGGCGAGAGAAAGTCTCCTGTGGCTGAGGCGCGGCCGGACCAAATGTCTCCCTTCCGGGCGGCCGGGGGCCCGCGGTGTCCCGCCGGTGTCCCGCTGGTGTCCCGTGTGGCTGAGGCGCGGCCGGACCAAATGACTCCCTTCCGGGCGGCCGGGGGCCCGCGGTGTCCCGCCGGTGTCCCGTCGGTGTCCCGTGTGGCTGAGGCGCGGCCGGACCAAATGATTCCCTTCTGGGCCCGCGGTTTCCCGCCGGTGTCCCGTCGGTGTCCCGTCGGTGTCCCGATAATGATGTTGTTGATGATTATCATGATGGTTATGTTGATGGTGGTGATGATGACGATGATGGTGTCCTGGTGATGATGAGTATGTTGATGTTGTTGATGATGATGATGATGATGATGATGATGATGATGATGATGATGATGATGAGATGACGATGATGATAATGCTTCTGCCAGTTGTTGTTGATGATGATGTTGGTAATGATGGTGCTGATGATGATTATGGTCTCCCGATGATGATGATGATGATGATGATGATGATGATGATGATGATGATGATGATGATGATGACTATGACGGTGGTGATGATGATGGTGATGGTAATGGTGTGCCGATGATGATATTGATGATGATGTTGGTGATGATGATACTGCTGATGATGTTGATGATGATAATGAGCTGATGATGATGATGGTGCCCCGATGTTGTTGTTGATGATGCTGACGATGAAAATGATGGTGACCATGATGGTGTCCCGATGATGATGATGTTGATGGTGATGATGACGATGGCTGTGTCCCGATGATGATGATGATGACTATGATGAGATGATGATGGCGTTGATGATAATGGCCTGATGATGATGGCGTTGATGATGATGGCGACGATGATGATGTGAAGATGACAGTGTCCCGATGACGATGGAGATGGTGGTGTTGTTGTTGATGATGATGACGTTGAATGTTAGATCGATTGTGATACCAGTAGTGAGATCGATAGTGAGACCGAATGTGGGATCGATTGTGAGATCGATAATCAGATCAATTGTGAGACCGAGCGAATGAGATAGATCGAGTGAGATCGATTGTGAGATCGATCGAGTGAAATCGATCGAGCGAGACCGATAGTGAGATGGATAGTGAGACCGATCGAGTGAGACGCTGCATCCTCCCCCCCCCGAACCTCCTTATCACCCGAAGGGTGGTCGTATAGGTATCCCGACCCGGTGAAAATATTACAAGGAACGCAATCCTCTGAGCAGTCTGCAAAATGGGGCATACGCGTTGCACGCCTCACGAACAAATATGAGGCAGCACCGTAGAATATGGCATGAAGCGGAAAAGACGGCAAAACAGCGATGACCAAGAGAAGGAAAGAAGTTCAGAGACCAGATAATACGAGTGATGCAACAGAAGGATGGGGCCAAAAGGAATGGAGACCTCCCAGGAGCACACGGATATGGCGACAGCTGCGCAGCCAGCGGCACCAAGGGAAGAGCGGGGTCCCATCTGAGCCTGCGTAGGGCGTCTGTCACTCCGCCAGGCCCCAGGCGCGCACCAAAGTCGCCACAGCTGCGCAACTGGGCCTGCGCATGACACCGCTACACTGGGCCCCCCAAGAGCACACGGAAGCCGCCACGGTGGCACGGGTCGTGGCACCCGAGCATGAGGGAGCAGAGGCAGGAGGCAGGCAGGAGGTAGACAGATAGGTACGTAGGTAGGTAAGTAGGTAGGTAAGTAGGCAGATATATAGATAGATACCTATACGACCACCCTTCGGGTGATAGTGATAAGGAGGTTCGGGGGGGGGGAACCAACGTCTCACTCGATCGGTCTCACTATCGATCTCACTATCGATCTCAGTATCGGTCTCGCTCGATCGGTCTCCCTCGATCGATCTCACAATCGATCTCACAATCGATCTCACTCGATCTCACTCGATCTATGTCACACTCGATCTCACTCGATGCTCATCATCATCATCATCATCATCGTCCTCATCATCAGCAGCATCATCATCATCAGCATCACCACCATCATCATCATGAACATCAACATCATCATCAGCATCATCAGCAGCATCATCATCAGCATCACCAGCATCATCATCATCATCATCATCATCAACATCATCATCAACATCATCATCAGCATCATCATCATCATCGCGGGACACCGCGGGGCACCGCGGGACACCGCGGGACACCGCGGGACACCGGCGGGACACCGCGGGACACCGGCCGCCCGGAAGGGAGACATTTGGTCCGGCCGCGCCTCAGCCACACGGGACACCAGCGGGACACCGGCGGGACAACGCGGGCCACCGGCCGCCCGGAAGGGAGACATTTGGTCCGGCCGCGCCTCAGCCACAGGAGACTTTCTTCTCGCCCGCCCACGCAGCTTCGCCTCGCCCGCACGGCACGCACGAACACGAAACAGAAATCGATTTCCCGGTAGGGGGGCTCTCCGTTCCACTTCGATCTCACCCCCTCACCTCCGATGTATGTCATTACCTATACGACCACCCTGCGGGTGATAAGGAGGTTGGGGGGCATGGGCAAAACTGGTGATATTGTTCTGACAATGCCTGTGGGGCGGAGTCTCGTGAGTAGAGTGATTGTGCACTTGAGCGTGATGTGATGTGGCGACATTGGCGAAGCGCACTTAACATTGTCGTCAACCGCTGTCCCCGCGTGCGCTAATCAATCGCGCGAACCTCACCTCAGCGCTAGTCGACGTGGTCGAACGTGCGTGCTGCGGTGCAACAGTGACTGATCGCGGCGCCACCCGATGCTGCCTTGGTTGCAGGTCCGGCGCTCGAGGCACGAGCAAAGCTTGGTGCCAGCGGCGCCTGCGATGTGCCTTCCGATTTGCATTTGGATTTGCATATCGATGTGCATTTCGATTTGCTTTTCGATGTGCATGTCGACGTGCATTGGAAAGCTCGCCGCGGCGCCCACGGCGCCTTACGATTTGCATTTGGATGTGCAAATCGATTTGCATTTCGATGTGCTTGTCGGTCTGCATGTCGGTTTGCATGCAGACTTGCATTGGATGGCTCGCCGCAAGCGGCGATTTTTTAAAATGCGCAGCCCACGGCGGGACACCAGCGGGACACCGCGGGACACCGTTTGACAGGAGGAGCATCATTTGGTCCGGCCGCGGCCCAGCCACAGGAGGATTTCGGGACACCAGCGGGACACCAGCGGGACACCGCGCGCCACCGGCCGCCGGAGGAGAATCATTTGGTCCGGCCGCGGCCCAGCCACAGAAGGATTTCCTCTCGCCCGCCCACGCAGCTTCGCCTCGCCCGCACGCACGCACGCACGGCACGCACGACACGAACCCGAAACCGAAATCGATTTCCCGGTAGGGGGGGGTCTCCGTTTCACGTCGGACACACCCCCCAACCTCCGATACATACATATATATATATATATATATACATAGATATACAGATGTACTGAACGTGACATATATATATATATACATATGTATACGTCGATTGATAGCTTATAAGTGTAATTAAATATCGGTAGATAGATGGATAAACATATGTGAATATACAAATCTGGATGTACGAACATGCCTATATAAAACATGCTCATGTAACTAATGATCGGTATAAAGACATATATGCATACAAACATATGAGGTACATAGGTATGTAATGTGAAATGTGTATATGTGTAGCTGCGTCATGCGATGTGTGCCCTGATGGTATGGATAGGTGTGTATATATATGCATATATACAGAAATGAGAAGGTTATAATAGATATAGATCTATGTGATATACATGTCGCTATATCTATGTATCGAAAGATACAGTTATGTATGTGTGGATAGATGTACCTATTTATATATGTAAGATGGATAGAAAGATAGATAGGTAAGCGGCAGGCAGGAGGTAGGAGGCAGGAAAGGGGCCCCCGCCTCCTCTCGTCGCGAGAGCATCACGGCGGAGGGCTCTTGGCCGTTCTTGGCCGCCATGGGGCCCTCACCAGGCCCCCCAGGGCCGTCAGAGACCCAACTGATAACAAACCAACAACGCACACCCATACCCACAGGGGGGTCGGAGAGGGCTGTGGGTGCGTGTTGTCGGATGGGGCTCCCCGCTCGAACGGGAGCGTTGCCCAGGGTCCGACAGCCCGCACCCATACCCATAGCCAGTCCTCCTCCCAACGACCCCCCTATGGGTATGGGTGTGCGTTGTTCGTTCGTCAACTGAAAAGAGACCGGTCCTGGGGAATGGGTCTAGACCTCTGGAGGTCCAGGTTGCAACAAGACTCACGACAGCGGAGGCCTCGGGAAAGAGAGAGAGAAGAGGGGAGGCGTGAGTAACCAATGGGGAGGCGGCAGCACAACGAGAATCCAGCGCAGGAGGGGTACGAAACATGATCCCGGCGAGGCCCCTGGCAGGCGGAGCATGCTGCTGAGAATTTGACGACTCGACGCTGATGTGCTGAATGAGATGTGAG